TAGAGTATTCAACCCAAACTTGTTGATTCGACACAAGGGGAGCCAACGAATATTCGTAAGTATTAGCAGTTGAGTTATCAATTCAACCACACCTGAAAGACTTAATATATGCAGCAAGGTGATCAGTAGCAAAGTAGTATGATAGTAACGGTAACAATAACAATAGTAACATTAACAATTTTTTATAATGGTTGTAACAGTAGCAACGACGAAAGTAACTTAGCAAAGATCAATGTATGAAATGCGTAGGCAATGGATCAGTGATGTATAATTGCGTAGGATGGCATTCATCATGCAACAGTTATAACCTAGAGCGACACAGAACTAGCTCCAATTCATCAATGTAATGTAGGCATGTATTCCATATATAGTCACATGCTTATGGAAAAGAACTTGCATGACATCTTTTGCCCTACCCTCCCATGGCAGCGAGGTCCAATAGGAAACTAAAGGATATTAAGGCTTCCTTTTAATAGAGAACCGAAACAAAACATCAGCTAGTGAATACATGAACTCCTCAAACTATGGTAATCACCGGATAGAATCCCAATTATTGTCACCTTGGGGTATGTGGATCATAACACGCAATAGGTGCGTATAACTTGCAAGATAGGATCAAGAACACACATACATTCATGAAAACATAGTCGGTTCAGATCTGAAATCATGGCACTCGGCCCAAGTGACAAGCATTATGCATAATAAAGTCATAGCAACATCAATCTCGAAACATAGTGGATACTAGGGATCAAGCCCTAACAAAAACTAACTCGATTACATGATAAATATCATCCAACCCATCACCGTCTAGCAAGCCTACGAAGGAATTACTCACTCCCGGCGGTGTGCATCATGAAATTGGTGATGGAGGAAGGTTGATGATGACGACGTCATCAAATACCCCTCTCTGAAGCCCCGAACAGACTCCAAATTAGCCCCCCCGATGAAGAACAAGAGGTGGCAACGGCATCGTATCGTAAAACGCGACGAATCCTTCTCTCTAATTTTTTCCTGACGAATAGGTATATATGGAGTTGGAGTTAGGGTTGCCAGAGGTCCAAGGGGCCCACAAGCTCGTAGGGCGTGCCTTGGGGGGCGCCCCCTGAACTTGTGGCTCCTGGGTGGCCCCCCTCTGGTATATCTTTCCACCAGTATTTTTTATATTTTCCATAAGAATTTTCCGTAAATTTTCAGGTCAATTCGAGAACTTTGATTTTTGCACAAAAACAACACCATGGCAATTCTGCTAAAAACAGCGTCAGTACGGTAGTTTCATTAAATCATGCAAACTAGAGTCCAAAACAAGAGCAAAAGTGTTTGGAAAAGTAGATATAACGAAAACGTATCACACACCATATCCATGACCTCTATCCGTCGAAGATGAGGAGCATGCCAGATTCACGCCCCGTGGCCACGACATAATTGGGGCACTGATATGTCTCCAACATATCTACAGTTTTTGATTGTTCCATGTTATTATCAATCTTGGATGTTTTATATACATTTACTAGCAACTTTATATCATTTTATGGGACTAGCCTATTAACTTAGTGTCCAGTGCCAGTTGTTGTTTTTTGCATCTTTTTTCATTTTGCAGAATATCAATAAATGAGGTCCAAATGCCACGAAACTTTTTGGAGATTTTTTCTGGCAAGAAGAGGCCCTAGAAGCTTCTAGAGGCCATGAGAAGATGGGCCAGTGGGCCACTAGGCACCAGGGCCTGCCAGGGGCTAGTGGGGCCCACGTGGCTCCGTTTGACCTACCTCCGCCTCTATAAACACTTTAAAATCCCAAAATCCTAAGGGGAGTCGACAAAATATTTTTTTTGCCGCCGCAAGTTCTAGAACCATAGATCCAATCTAGAGGCCTTTTTCGGCACTCTGCCGGAGAGGGCAACGATCACGGAGGGTTTCTCCATCATCCTTGCTGCCCCTTAATGATGCGTGAGTAGTTTGCCACAAACCTATGAGTCCGTAGTTAGTAGCTAGATGGCTTCTTCTCTCTTTTTGAGCTTCAATACAATGTTATCCTCGATGTTCTTGAAGATCTATTTGATGTAGTGACCTTTTGCAGTGTGTTTGTTGGGATCCGATGAATTGTGAGTTTATGATCAGATGTATCCATGAATATTATTTGAGTTTTCTCTGAACTCTTTTATACATGATTGTTATAGCCTCGTATTTCTTCTCCGATTTATTGGTTTGGTTTGATCAACTAGATTGATTTACCTTGCCATGATAAGAGGTGCTTTGTGATGGGTTCGATCTTGCGGTGCTCAATCTCAGTGACAGAAAAATACATGACACACATGTATGGTTGTTATTAAGGGTAACAAGATGATATTTATTTCATACGCGAGTTTATCTTGTCTACATCATGTCATCTTGCTTAAAGCATTACTCCGTTTCTCCATGAACTAATACAGTAGATGCATGTTGGATAGCGGTCAATCTATGGAGTAATAGTAGTAGATTCAGAATGGTTTCGGTCTACTAATCTTGGACGTGATGCCTATATATGTATATGATCATTGCCTTGAATATTGTCATAATTTTTTGCTTTTCTATCAGTTTGCCCAACAGTAATTTGTTTACCCGTTGTATGCTATTTTCTCGAGAAAAGCCTCTAGTGAAAACTATGACCGCGGGGTCTATTTTCTATCATATTAAAACCAAAAATACCTTCTGCAATTTTCTTTTATTTATTTTATTTTGTGTTTTAGTTAGATCTATTTATCAAAATCTATACAATTTAATCTTTCTTTTGACTGTTGAGGAATTGACAACCCCTCTACGTCTTGGGTTGCGAGTATTTGTTGTTTGTGTGCAGATGTTGTTTACATAGTGTTGCTTGGTTCTCCTACTAGATTTATAGTCTTGGTTTCATAACTAAGAAAAATACTTATCTCTAATGTACTGCATTATCCCCTCCTCTTCAAGGAAATCCCAACACAGCTCACAAGTAGCAGGTACCTAGATCTATGTGCTTCTGGTGGCAAAGTCGACGAGGGAGACTACGAATCGGGCACTCCGACAATCGCGTCCATGGAAACAAATTCTTTTCCTCCTCGTCTCATCACAACTCCTCGCCAGCACTTGCCACCAGCCTCCTCGCCAGTGACTAGCACAGACATCGTTGGGTTGATCCCCATCTAGGCAAAGGAGACTAAGGGAAACGAGGATATACAAGCTAGCATTTAATATGGCGCGACTACCTGCCATTTATTTCTTATGCATATCGACCCGTATTTTTCATATAAAAATCAAAAAGGACACATATCCCGAGTATCGATTTTTATGTGCCTCTAGAGAACACACTCACGTACTTAGTAACTACTCCCTCCGTCCCATAATTGTCCCATAATATAAGAGTATTTTTACACCTAAAAACGTTCTTATATTATGGGACGGAGGGAGTAGTAGTTACTACACTTGTTGGCTATTAGGTTGAGTATACGTGACATGAAAAGATCATACAACCCTGCTGGCTATATGATGTTGCCATGTCATATATAGTCATCACTTATAGTCACTCATATAAGGTTAGCTATAATGTTGGCTATAAGAATACTATTTTTTCACATTGTCTTTATCTTTTTCTTTATATTTATTGCATTTGCCTAGGAGTACGCATGTAGCTAGACTTTTGCATGAGAGTCCACTCCCATCATTTTTTCATGTCTTTCTCTTCCACATAAGTAAAAGTGCCATTGAAGCGATATAAGCCGATTATTGTACTTGTTCTAAGTCCACTATTGCTCCCCAACATTTGGGCTGAAAAGACACATATAGCCTTAGTCCCTGCTGCAACTCCAATCATTCATCGGTGCGTCAGTCCGTCCAAGTTAGCACCGACGTGACCAAAATGCAGTACCCAGCCTCTAACGTCCTGAACCATCGCGGGGGCAGGCCCGTCATTTCCAGCCTCCCAGTCGCCCATGGCTATATCATCCGCCCTCGTCATGGCCCTATCCCGTCCCTGTCCCAGCAGATGAACACACACACACACAGCGATAAACCTAAAAATTCAATTTTTGTTTTATTACAAAAGGATAAAAAAGAATAGACGAAAATAGAAACAAAAAGCGGTTGCGGGAGAGGATAAATCCCAGAACGGGGAGCGGAAAATAGTCGGAAAAAGATTAATCATTTCTTCCTGCTGTCCGCAAGGGAGAGAAAAAGGGTAGTACGCTCGCCCCGTCCGTCCCTTATATTTTCCGGGGGGATCCATCTCCGTTCTGCTTGGGCGGCGTCTTCTGAGGCGCAGGCTTTCCCCCCCTCCGCTCTACCCCGGCGGCCGATTCGCGCCCCCCTCGCTCGACCCTCCAGGTGCGTCCCGTCCCGCCCCCCGTTTCCGCGCTGTTTTGGCGGATTTTCCCGTGATTTTTTCGTGTTGGGTAATGGTGATCTGTCGAATTAAGGGCAGATCTGGGCGGCGGGCGGGCTGGGACGGCGGGTTCTAGGGTTTGGGGCGCGTGGCTCGGGTGAATTGGTTGCGTGCGCGTGCCCGATTTGAGGGGAAAAGCGCGTTCTTTCAATGATTTCCAGGGAGGGATTTTTTTTTCTTCGTCCTCCGGGAAGTTTAGTCCGCTGCTAATCATGCAACTGCTGACTTTCTACTCGATTCGCTTTCTCCGTTGATATATGCCTGCGAATTCTACCGCGTGTTGACTTCGTTCCATTTACTGCGGATTTTCTCGTCATGTCTGCTTATAATTATTCCCAAAGTGCCCAGAAACCAGAACGGGCAAATATATGTGTCGCTGGAAATATGCTGTGGTGCTAATGGAATGGAAATTGCGGAAGGCTTCCTAGATTTGCAGCAATTCCTGTTGTGTTTGGCAACTGCTCTTACCATTCTGACTTGTGTAGGAGGTTCTAGACGTGCTTGGCTGTTTGCTCCATGTGCAATTCGTTTCAGCGAGACCGTGCGTGGTTGCTGATGTTGTTGTTGGCATTCTGTTTACAGGTCAGGGAGGCTTCTCTCCTAGGAGAGGATCAATGTCCAATTATCACGACGATCACGTCGAAGACATGGAGGATGATTATGACATGGACGACCCCGCTGAGGACATGGTTGACGCCCACCACGAGCGAGGTTTAAGAGACTCCGATTCGGAGGATGACGAGTATGCCCATTCGGTATGTCCATCAGTTGTTATTTTGTATTGTTGTGATCGCTGCAATTGGAATTAGGTGTTACGTATAAATGCAGGTCATGTTGTTTTATCAGAAGCTTGAGCATTTTTTCACTGATGCTAGATTCGCTTACGTAGTCCTCATGCTATTTGTCGTATACTAGATAGTAACATGGAGCACCTGACTCGGGCAGTGGTTTTTCATTCTCTTATCTGGAGAGGAATGGACAAATGACAACGATCTCATGCTTGGGGAGTGTTACGTAGTACGCATGCTGCTTGTCGTATGCTACATATTAACATGGAGCTTACCTGGATCAGTTATGTGAACATATAAATGACTTGATTGTAGCATTGATTGGCCATTCTCTTATTTAGAGGGGGATGAACAGAATGACAGCGGTCTTATGCTTGGGAGCGTTACGTTATCCTGATGCTGTTTGTCCTATACTACATATTAACATGGAGCAGACCTGGATAGGTTATATGAACATATAAATGATTTGCTTGTGGCATTGATTGGTCATTCTCTTATTTAGGGAGGGATGAACAAAACGACAACGGTCTCATGCTTGGGAGCGTGTATTATTTAGAGGGTTGTCTGGAGTGATGGAGCTTGTTGTTTTAGACGGTTGCACACTGTCACATGTCTTGTAGCGTTCATTCACCTACTCTTTTTATGTACACAGCTATCTGTTACAAGATTATGCCTCTCTTCTCATGATATCAACTTGCCATGCATGTGTAATATGCTTCCACTGTTCCGTTTATTCTGGCTTCCATTTCTAAACCACTAGTTTGTTTGAACTATCGACATAGGATAAATAAACCAGTTATTTCTCTTACCAATTTTCTAACTTTACTTGCCAACCTTGAACTTTACCAATAAGAGTTTACATATATGCGATTTGTTTCTGTTGTTTCTAATTTACCGTTGTTTTAACTACATAAACCATGCTGCAGTTCTCTAAATGTTTGTTCTTCCTTCTCTGTTTAGAATGATAAGATCCCAGATACTTCGGCAGCGGATGCAAGAAAAGGGAAAGACATCCAAGGAATACCATGGGAGAGGCTAGCTATCACAAGGGAAAACTACAGACAGACCAGATTAGAGCAGTACAAAAACTATGAGAACATTCCTAATTCTGGAGAAGCAGCAGCCAAGGTGTGTGCCTTGTAGAAAGTTCAGCAGCTTACGCAAAGTTTTCTGTCTGTTAACAGCTGACATGTTGTCTTGACACAGGAATGCAAACCGACTGTGAAAGGTGGAATGTATTATGAATTCAGACAAAATACTAGATCAGTAAAATCAACCATCCTACATTTTCAGGTGGGTTCATTCTGCCTCGCCACCCGTCCCCAGCACGCACACCATCACACATTATTGTGTTGCCAAATAATCATCAAATGCAATTGTTTGTGTATCTTTTCATTGGCACACCTTTCTTGATGCTCCATGATAAGATTATGATGTACTGATCACTAATGCAATCATATTCATATGTGCTAAGCTACTCTATTAGCCAACATCCAGTTTGATATTTTGTCTTCACAATCTTAGATGAACCATCTCCTTGAGTATATTGGAGTCAAAGAAGGTCCTTAACATAAGGACCTAGGCTGGTCCTTGTATCTTTGGGGTTAATTCAAGTTACATGGCTGTTTGGAGAACCTTTTACCATAGGGATTCAACTTGTTGAAAGGTGTCTGCAAGTCCTGATTATGTTTCTCTGCCTATAACCTGTGTAACCTAAACTGTTGCTGTGTTTGATCTAACCATTTGCATTTGGTCTCAGATTCTTAACTGATGTTTTTCCCATTCCTTGCACAATTTTGATTCTGTGACTTTCAAGAGCGTGAAACAATTGACATGATTTGTGCCTGCAGCTGAGAAATTTAGTATGGGCTACATCCAAGCATGACGTCTACCTAATGTCACATTACTCAGTGCTTCACTGGTCAGCGTTGAGTGGTGTGGACACTGAACTTATGAATGTCCAAGGTCATGTGGCACCAAGGGAGGTATGGTGCATGATTGTACTTCATAATCTGTCTCAATTTTTCACATCCTGTAGAGCTTGTCTCATTCTTCTTTTAATGTTTGTGGATCTCTTATTTCAGAAGCACCCTGGAAGTCTATTAGAGGGTTTTTCTCAGACTCAAGTTAGTACCTTGGCAGTCAAGGACAATTTGCTGGTAGCTGGTGGATTTCAAGGGGAGCTAATCTGCAAGGTAGGTTGCCCAAAGTAACTTGAATCTTTTTGAATCTATATAAATCTGCTATCTCTGGCGTGGTGACAAACTTCCATTATTTGTGATGTCAATAACATTCGTTTACTGCATACTCACCTAGCTCCTTGCTCTTAGTGCACCATTGATTCTAACCACTAGACTAATAGCTAAAGGGATTGAGGATTTTATGGTGGGATGCTTGTGGTGGACCAATATAATCACTGATTACCTGGGTGGTTGGGACTGTACCTCAAAAGAGTCTGATATTGTTGGATTCAAAGTACTTGAGCCTGTTTCTTCAAGAGTAAAATCTATAAAAAGATCATGTTTGGTGTTCAATAAACTCTTTGCAAAAGAATAGTTCTTTTTTCATTCTGAAAATTTTGCTGAAAATCACTAATTGATGACGACTAATTACTGTTTTTTTCATTTGCTATGATTTTGTGTGTGTGCTGAAATGTAATATTGATTTTTACCACTTCTGTTGATGTGGAATGCAGCACCTTGATCGAGAAGGAATAAGCTTTTGCTGTCGAACAACATATGATGATAATGCTATTACTAATGCAGTTGAGATATTCAATACTGCTAGGTAATGTGATGTCCCCATTATTAGGTTGTGACCTTGTTGAGTGTGTGTTCATGATAGTTCTTGTTTTCCTTCCAGTGGTGCTGTTCATTTCATGGCATCGAATAATGACTCCGGTGTAAGGGATTATGACATGGAGAGATTCCAGTTATGCAAGCACTTTCAGTTTGATTGGCCAGTGAATGTAAGTTCCTTTGTTTATTTCTACTACTTTTCTTTTGTTGCGAACCTGGAACACTAAATGTTTTTTACCTCTTGCTGCATGTGGTTATGATCTTGTGCTGTTGTTTCACTCAATATGCTTAGTTTTGGCATCTTGCTGTTATCGAACCTAGTAAAATTAGAATAGGAATTTTGTGTGTAAAAAGCAAAACAGGAGTGTATGAACTGATGGTGCCTTGGTTCAAGGGGAAAAAAAAGAACTGTTGCCACAGCTGACAAGATTATGATGTTTTGTACTTCTGTCTTCTGGATCTAGTTGATAATGAGAACTGGGAAGTATGGTTAGAACATGTCGAGCAGACTAGCCAAATTTGACCTTCTATCTCCATTTGGCTGGCCATCTAAATCCCCCCGCCCCCCTCCCCCTCTATATCTCCATTTGGCTGGTCATCTAAAAAGATTTCCCCCTCTATCTTCTACAACAGACCAGCCAAATTTCACCCTCCATATTATTACTCTCTCTCATGTATGTCAGTAATATCTCGTAACTAACAGTATACTCCCGCCGTTCCTAAATATTTGTCTTTCTAGAGATGTCAACAAGTGACTACATACTGAGCAAAATGAGTGAATCTACACTCTAAAATATGTCTATATACATCCGTATGTGATAGTCCATTTGAAATCTCTAAAAAGATAACTATTTAGGAACGGAGGGAGTATTTGTCATGGCAACATTTCTAATGATTGTATTTATAATGGTGAGATAGATATATAACGGCTATGTTTTGAACTATCTTTCGGTGCAGCTTTGCAATTAGTGTATAGATTTTCATACGTCTTACCGATCCGCCAGTCATTCTTTTTTCCTGTCTAGGTTTAGGAAGCCGCAGCAAATTCTGTTCTCGGACATGAACAAACATTATATCAACGGCGGAAGTTATGAAAGCAAATTTATGCCACTGAATACTAAAATGGAGAGGAATATCGAGCAGCATTCATGAATCAACCATTATAGCAACACCAGTCACTCTTTATCTAGCAGCATTCATGAATCAACCACAGCTGCAAATAATGTATTGGAAATTTGGAATCAAACAAGCACGATTCGTTGCTGAGCCCATCAGCCCATGCGTACAGAGAACTCAAGCACACATCTCTCATGACACCCACAATCCCCATTGATCTGTCCTCTGTGGCTTGTGTGACCAAAGCGCATGCATCTCCGCCTACAAAATTCGGCAGCAGCTGCCAGGGCCATTAACACAGTGGGCCGCAACAGCATGCTCCGCTCTGTGTAGGATGTACCCCACCCGAGATGCATCGCCACTGCCACCTCCACTCTTGCATCCTGGCCACCACCCCTTGTCAACCACCGCAAGCAAGAGCAAAAAGCACCTCATCTGTATCCTCCCGTCGGCCGCTCCTCGTCCACATCCAAGCACTTCCTCATCAACCAACTCCTGTCCACCTCACTCTTAGGCCCTAATCCAGATCATCCCGATCGCTTGCTTCCCCTCCTGCCTGCCTGCCGCCACCACTAACCTGCAGGGCCGTCATGCAGCCACCATCTCCCCACCTGTGCTAGGAAGGAGAGGGGAGGAGGTGGATCCTACCTTTGAGGTGGGGATGGAGCTGTCGACCGTTGTGGCGGAAGTGAAGCATCCGGATGTGGTGGTTGAGCTCCAAACACGGACAGAGGGCCACTCGGCACACGCCAGATGGCGTTTGTCCAGGCCAGGATGGATGGATCCAAAGATAGTGAGCCAGTGGGCGCGCGTGGCTGCTGGAGGAAGGTCTTTCCTATTGCTATTTTTTGCATGTAGCTTGTGTGATAGAGCAGCTGCTGGAGATGCTCTTACATTTGTGCTAATAGGCATCCTTCAGGATTAATCTTGCACATGGGCGTGTGGCTGGTGGTGGAAGGTCTTTCCTACTTTTGCTATTTTTTGCATCTAGCTTGCGTGATATAGAAGCTGCTGGAGATGCTCTTACATTTGCGCCAATAGGCATCCTTCAGGATTAATCCTGCACGTTTACGTGTGGCTGCTGGAGGAAGGTCTTTCCTACTTTGCTGTTTCTGGCGTCTAGCTTGCGTGATACAGCAGCTACTGGAGATGCTCTTACATTTGCGCTAATAGGCATACTTCAGGATTAATCTTGCATGTGCGTCGTGGTTGCTGGAGGAAGGTCTTTCCTACTTTTGCTATTTTTTTGCATCTAGCTTGTGCGATAGAGCAGCTGCTAGAGATGCTCTTACATTTGCACTAATAGATATCCTTCAGGTTTAATCTTGCACATGCCAACCACAAAAACCTCTATTTTTTTTCTTCCTTTTTTTGGCTTGCTCCCTTTTCGACATTGTATTGATAGCAAATGGAGCAAAACACCATGTATACGCTCGTTATATATCAGAATTAATGAAATGCTCTTGCTTTACGCTGACCCTACACTCTTGTTTTGTTGGTGCAGCATACATCTCTGAGTCCTGACGGGAAGCTTGTTGTAATTGTTGGGGATGATCCTAATGGTTTACTTATTGATGCCAATTCAGGAAAGGTATACTATCCCAGGCATAAAACACCAGATGTTCACCAAACCGTGATTAATATTTCAAATTAAAACGCTGATACCATGTGTGATTAAGCGGGTGCACCTGTTTTGTACTCTGGACACAGACTCTTCATTCCATGAAAGGTCATCACGACTTCTCATTCGCATCAGCCTGGAGCCCTGATGGCCGAACGTTTGCTACTGGGAACCAAGACAAGACATGCCGAATCTGGGACGCGAGGAACTTATCAAAAGCAGTCCATGTATTGAAGGGTAACCTAGGAGCCATCAGATCAATCCGTTTTACGTCGGATGGGCAGTTCCTGTCGATGGCGGAACCAGCGGACTTTGTCCATATCTTTGATGTGAAGAGCGACTACAATAGAAGGCAAGAGCTAGACTTCTTCGGCGAGATATCTGGGATGTCCTTCAGCCCCGACACAGACGCCCTCTTCGTCGGCGTGTGGGATAGAACATATGGTAGCCTCCTCCAGTTTGGGCGTCTGTATAACAACTGGTACCATGACTCGCTGCTTTGAGGAGAAAGCGGAGCGGATGTCGGGCCTGCATGTCTGTCCCCCCACAGCTGCACTGAATCTCGCAGCATAAGTTAGGTGTCTCCCTGAAATCGGAATTTCTCGAGTTGACCTGCATAATTCAAATTAATAAATGTTGTATCCTTGTATGTGTATAAACAAATGTACAGATGCCTATAGCCTGTGTGCCGGGGTAGAGCGCATCTCATCATATATGTTTAGGTTCCAGTTAGTTGTAAGGCATCTTGACTCAGGTCGAGTGACGCTGTGAACATTGTAGTCGATGATGGTGTGACTTGTACGATGAACGACATCCGCTTCACCTGCCCTATGTTCTGCCTGTTAATTGTATGTAGTTTGCTTGATGGTCAGAATCTGTGCTGTGGTACGTAGGGCGGAGGCTCCTGTCAGTTCGAGTGGAAGTCTGGTTTGGTGGTGCTTGTCATATGGAGCGGACGACATGGCTTTGTGTCTTGGACATGACTGGTCGATCTCGGCCTTGTTGGTGTGTGTGGAATTTTCTTCTCAAGGGCAGCGATTTGCTTTGCATTGCGGTCGCCAGTGTCTTTTGATCTACATACTTTCTAGCCATGGCCTTTCTACAAGTTACTGGGTTTGCTCATAACACGTCAATGATGCATGTAGAAGGAAGAAGGCTTAAAACACCCTTTGTAGTGTCAGAAAACGTCTTACATTTTGAAACAGATGAAATATCTTATAATTTCTGTAAAGGCATTTTTAAATGGTTTCTAGTATACTTAATACGGACATGGTTTTAACCTTTTGAAAAAGAAAATGCTGTGTTTTTCTTTGCTTCGCTGCGATGGTGTAGTGGAAAGTAGCCCATGCGCCTAGCTCGGAGACTGGGAGTGGGAGGTGTGGTGTGACGCAGCGTTCTGTTTCCACAAGCCGATCGATCCATATATAACGCACCCAAGCTGGCCCGGAGAGGCAGCGTAGATTTGCTTGCACCGTAAAGTTGGTAGCCACTCGACGGAGGCGGGCGAACGGGAAGTAGGGGGATCAGTGCGCGACCACTACCGTCTACCGGCACTGACCATGCCGGAGTCTGGCCGGGCGATGAGGCGGATCCGCAAGGAACTGGAGCTGCTCTGGATCGACCCGCCGGCGTTCTGCCGGCCCGGCCCGGCGCCCGTGACGGACCTGTTCCACTGGGAGGTGGTCATCGACGGCCCCCACGGTAGCCCCTACGCCGGCGGCACGTTCCCCGTCGACGTCGCCTACCCCAAGGACTACCCATTCGACCCCATCAAGCTCACCTTCAGAACCAAGGTGAGTCGGCCGGCACTGCCCTCTAGCTGCATGCATGCTTCCTCCATAAAGATCGACCGATCGATCGGCATCTGTACGTATGACCGCGCCAAAACGATCGACTGGTCAATTGCCCTCCCATAATATCTATCCTGACGGACGCGTCTCTGCACTGCACATCTTCCGGAGGGGAAGATGGCGCTGGACATCTTCCGGAGCGAGTGGAGGCCTTCTCTCACGATAACTATAAGCACGGCCCTCCTCTCCGTCGTCTCCGTCCTCCACGACCCCCTGCTCGACCGCCCCGTCCGCCGCGACGCCGCCCGGCTGTACAAGCGCGAGCGGGGTCTCTTCGAGCACAAGGCCATGGACTGGACCCGCAGGTACGCCTCGGCGCCGGTCGCCTCCTTCTATCCGGCGGGGACGGAGACGTTCGAGGAGGCGGCGGCGGCCAGCGGGGCAGTGGCACGTCGCCGTTCTTGCGGGGCAGGGCAATGGCGCTCCTTCGCGGCTCGTCTCCCATGCATCCAGCCATGAACGCATGCACCACGTACGATTATGAGTCAATTACATCATTGGTGCTAAAACTTGGCGTGAGAAATGTTAGGAGCCCCTGTAGTCATCATTGTCGTTGTCGTCTTCACTCAAGGCTCCGTCGACCACGAATACTACTGCTTCGACCACGACAGCGCTTACATCGTCTACGCCCTCGGCACCTTCTTCGATTGGGTCTCCACGGGCCGCGACTTCTACGCCCAACTCGCTGAAGTCTACCCCAACTTCCGCTACCACCACAACTCCGACCAAGTCGAGGAGCATCAGTTGCAATGGGATCCAGGCGGCTCTCAGAAGCATCGGCTTGGGGTCAGGCCGAGTCTCGGAGGGATGTTAGGAGCCCCTGTAGCCCATACGTGTACTTGGGCTTCACATGGGCCAGGCCCGACTGTGCACCACCACTGTTGGCTACAAATACACGAAGGGAGAGCAGCAACCGAACCATCCGGGCTTGGATCACGAAACGGCAACGGCGGCTCCTCTCTCCCCTACCTCCTGTTCTTCTCCTTCCTCCCTCCTCAATTCCGTTGTACTCGAGCTTGATTCCCTGTAATGGAGTGATTCACGAGCTGGATCCTAACAAGAAATCACTTTAGTGCCAAAACTTACGGCATACATTGAACTGGTGCTACAACTTGGCTTTGACGTGCATATACAGTGCAAATCGCATTTGTATTCAGACACAGTGCTGACTAGGTGCGCCACATGGCATAAGACCACTGACAACCATTGAATGGTACAGATAGAGCTTGTGGCCTGTTATTTTGTGAAATCCCATCGAAATTATTTTTCTCGCAAAAAGGCCACTGCCACATGTCAGTTCATCTGTGAGCGAGCAAATTATGGGCAAAATGGTGGCTGATGGATTTTGAACCCGTGCTCTGCAGCATGGATGCGCGTCTGCCTAACCAATGGACCAAGAACCGTTTTCATACTAAATGGATACACACTCTATATATTCAGTAGACCTTAAGCGGGCTCGACACCCTACTGACCATTTTGCACTGTTATTTGTTAAAAGAATTATAAATTATATGCAAATTATAAGTGTGCATTATAAACAAAATAAACTGCAGAATAAAAATGAACACTTTTATAATACATAAATATTTTATTAAAACATGCAAATTTTAAATATACATTATCTTTATTTAAATATATAGAAAAAAACTTTGGTATTTTTATTGAATATGAAAATTATTACGGGCATAATTATCTAATTTACAATTTAACCATATGGATAATTTTTTAAATAATACGTAAATAATTTTATAATGTAATATTCTTATGTATATATATATATTATTTATAATATCATATTATAATTTACATATATTTTATAAATTTCTGAAGAAAAAAATAATGCTGTTGGGTGGGGTGGTGGCTACGCACACCTGATGACTACATGTCACTGTTGAAACCTAGCCAACGATGTTTACATAATATGAATATATGTTTCTTAAAACATGAACACTTTTATAGACTACATGGGTATTTCGTTACTGTGAAGATTTATAAACTTATACAAGCATTTATTAAAATATAAAGAAAAATTATTAAAGCATGAACATTTTTATATACTACATTAATATTTTGGTAAACTGTGAAGATTTGTTTCTAAAAAAACTTGTGAACATTTTAAACTTATGTAAGCATTTATTAAAATACATAGAATTTTTTTTAAAAAAATCTGAAAGCATGACACACGATTATGATTTACATATTCGTAAAAAGATTATAATTTACATATAGTTATTTTTGTTAACAAATTAACACTGAAAATGGTTTAGGGTCTCCAGCTAGCATAAGTCCGCCTCGATATATAATGTACATTTGCAAATATACCAATTTTTTTGTTAACTGGTAATCATGCAATGCAAGGTCAGTTGGATATATTGTCGTCAAGTCACTGGCTGGCTCCATACTAGAAAGCACTTCAAATTTTAGTGGCAATATTCGAGACAAGACTAGTAAAATATATATGTTCGTTCAAACACTTGTTTTGACAATATACTCCTTTTCCCAGTTTTATGTAAACAAATCTAGTAAATATAAAGATACATAATAATTTTTTGTGACAAAGTAAAAATACATCGTACGACCTGGCGGTAGATACATTCATGTCTCATACACTAATACGTGGTAGTATATATCTCAAATATTACTAAATTTATGATTATGAAAGAGAGGCTGCCTTCTTCAATCCCCATTAATAGAAAACTGTTCTGGGTGCATTCGTTGGGCATGAGCGCCTCCACGTTGCAGATTAGTCCTGGCCATAGGAAGCCCGGCCCAAAAAAGCCCGACCCGGCCCGGCCCGACGCTGACTCCGGGCCGGGCTCGGGCCTAGTTTTTGAGCCCGAAGGCCGGGCCGGGCCAGGCTCGGGCCCGTCGTTTTTGCAATTTTCTGAAGGTCGGGCCGGGCCGGCACGAAGCCCGACGGGCTTTTACGTGCTCGGGCCGGGCTCGGGCCCAGAAACACAGGCCCGATGGCCGGGCCGGGCCGGGCCCGGGCCTGAGTTTTTTTTTGTGTCGGGCTTGGCTAGGCCCGGCCCGAAGCCCGACCGGCCCGAGGTTTGGCCAGGTATACTGCAGATCACGGTTCAAATCCAGTTGGCCACAATTTATTTTTGAAAAATATTTCTGATGGGTTTTCCAAAAAATAACATGACACATGCCCAATATCTACCCTTCAGTGACTGGCAGCGGGCCTGATGCCACGTGGCGCGCCTAATTAGCTCCGTACCTGTCTACAAATGCAATTTGCACCGTATATGCACGCCAAAGCCAAGTTGTAGCACCAGTTCAATGTATGCCGCAAGTTTTGACATTAAAGTGATTTTCCACGCCAAGTTTTAGCACCTATGGTGTAATTGACTCTAAATTAAATATGAGATATTATGAATTGTACTAAGCAGTGTGCAATGAATGTGCAATCATGGATGTGGACAGTGTGTATAATGAGATACCTTGCAAACATTGAATCATGGTTTTAATTACTGTGACACGCTCTGCTGCATATAGAATAATGCCCTGCGAGATTCCATACAGTGACAAGTTCTGCTACAGATTAAGTATTGAGCACGGCATCAACCAGCTCTTCCTTGAGTGTCCTCCGAGTGAGTACATACAGGCTCGACCATTTGAGCAACCCCTCAAGGTTGTCAAACACAGGT